TGAACTGGACCACAAGCCATACGGTACTTTACACACACATAACAGCCTCTACTGGACGTTTCTAATATGTAATGGAGGCAGCCGCCCTGAACAATTTCCTGAGTACCAAGTGAGGACCAAAGCTAGTCTTCCAGCTCTATTATTACTCAACCAAGCTATTTATTTATGGAAGCTTATTTCCACCACTGAATAAAAATACAAAAATGGTAACTGCAACCTTTTCTCTCACAATTCTGACTTTTTTCTTGCAACTGCGACTTTATATCTAAAAATTGTGACTTTTTTTTTTTTTTTTAATTGCGAGTTTATATTTTGCAATCGTGAGATTAGATCTCGCAATTCTTTCTTTTTTTCCCCTCAGAATTCTGCATGTGCATGTGGTCAGGTCAGGTGTCTAAAATGTGAGGAAAAAAAACAGAATTGCAAGATGTAAACTCAGAATTCTGAGGAAAAAAATCTGAATTGTGAGATACAAACTCGCAACTGCAAGTTTATAATTCACAATTCTAGAAAAAGTCATAATTGTGAGATGTAAACATGCAATTCTAAGAAAAGTCCGAATTCTGAGAAAAAGGTCAGAATTGTGAGACAAACTCGCAATTCTAAAAAAAAAATCATAACTGTGAGATTGTAAACTCACAATTGCAAGTTTATAACTCAATTCTAAGAAAAAAGACAGAATTGTGTGATATAATCTCTCAATTCTAAAAAACAAGGTCCGAATTTTGAGAAAAATTTTTTGCAATTCTGAGAAAAAAAGTCAGAATTGTGATATAAACTTGCAATTCTAAAAAGTCAGAATTGTCAGATGTAAACAAGCAATTCTAAGAAAAAAAAGTCAATTGTGAGATACAAACTAACAATTACAAGTTAGCATAAATCGCAATTCTACGAAAAAAGGTCAGAATTGTGAGATATTAACTTGCAATTCTAAAAAAGTCAGAATCCTGAGATATAAACTCACAATCAAAAAAAGTCAGAATCGTGAGATATAAACTCACAATTCTAAAGAAGTCTGAATCTTGAGATATAAACTCGCAATTCTAAAAAAGTCAGAACAATTACAAGCTAGCATAATTCGCAATTCTATGAAAAGTCAGAATTGTGAGATATTAACTTGCAGTTTTAAAAAAGTCAGAATTGTGAGATGTAAACTGAATTGCAAGTTCATAAATCACAATTCTAAGAAAAAAGTCAGAATCGTGAAATATAAACTCGCAATTCTAAAAAAGTCAGAATCGTGAGAGATAAACTCGCAATTCTAAAAAAGTCAGAATCGTGAGATATAAACTCACAATTCTAAAAAAGTCAGAATATAAACTGGCAATTCTAAAAAAGTCAGAATCATGAGATATAAACTCGCAATTATAAAAAAGTCAGAATTGTGAGAAATAACCGCAATTGTGAAAAAAGTATTCAGAATTGTGAGATAAAAAGTCACAATTACCTAATATTTATTTGTATTCTGTTGCAGAAATAAGCTTCAATAATTTTTCAATAGCAGCCTCTCTAAAAGCAGCTCTACAGAGCGCAACAGTGGCCACACTGCTTTTTCGTTCAAGTATTTTCCCCATTCATTTCTCCATAAAGATTTCATAAAGTTCTCCAATAAAGAAATCAAAGCCTTAAACTAAACCAACCAGCTCTGATACGAATCATTACAAACTCAGATTGGAAGAAAAAATATTTGAAATCTGAAAAGTTACAAATGTTTTCTGAAGGCATGAACGGCTCATCCCACGAAGCATTGTGAATAACGTAATCAAAGAAGAAACGTTTTATATTGAAAATAAGGTTCAATATAAAACAATATATTTTAACTATATTACAAAATATTGTGACTGTCGTTCACAGTGCTGCATTGCAGTGGTCGATCGTTGCTGAGCTCTTTTGCAGTGATTTTTTGTTTCCATAGTAACAATGAGTCCTCTGACTGGTTTCTTTCTAGTTAAGATTATGGTGTAGGGGAATTCGGCTATAAAAAATATCTTAATAAAAGACCTTGAAATCATAGACGTATGGCTTTTACAGCAGCACACACCACCTCTTCAAGTTCAAAAGCCTCTTGAAAGGTTTATGTGCTGTTGGGGTTAGAATTCAATTAAATCTATGGAGAAAATAAATGGGATTTTTGCTTCTGGAAGCTGACTGTTGAGCTCTAGAAGTGGGCTTTGCCTTTTTTTTGAGCTGTCAGTCAGCCACTAAACGGGATCATTTCGTTTGGACAGTGTTCCTGTGTGGTCTGTTCATTTGTGGTCCTCGAGTATTACCTGAGCTGGTGAGATGACAGAGAATCACTTCAGTGTTCGTCTGTTTGTACAGCCTGTGATTCACAAACTCATCTGTCCCCAAGTCTGACATGTTTGGTCATACAGTGATAGAGACAGACAACTTTAATGCGACATCACTGCCTTTATCTCTCTCTGGGGTTATGTCGACAATATTAGTGGTATTATCTATGATAATTATGCTTTGGTTATATATTTGGCTACATATTGCATCAAATTTAAACCAGGTGCCAACACATTATGGTCATGTGATTATGTGCCAAAAAGCAGTTTACTGGTTTTCAGCTACAAAAGTGGAATATTGTGGATGTTAATAAATTCACAACTTTTTTTTTTTTTTTTTTTAAAAAGCTCTTTGTGGATTGTCTTTATTTATATGCCTCATTAAAATTCATAAGTATATGATAAACGAAATGTTTTAGTTATATAAATTGCTTAATGGCCATTCCTAAACCCATCGTCAATGTAATGTATGAATGGTAATAATTCACAAAACACAACCGTAACTACTAGACATTGTAATATATATATATATATATATATTTATTATTGTTTTTATAATATTGCTTATCTTTAATGCATTGATCAACAGATATCAGAGGAACAAAACCAAAATAATATATAATAATAATATATATCACAAATTACCAGATCATTCTTAGAACTAGTAGTAGCAAAAAGCAATTGTAGGCTGTTGGAATGTTGCATAGTTCTGCTATAAACTATAAATAAAAAAAGTGCTTATCTTTAGTTCTGGAACCTAATGGTGAGCATGATTATTGGTTTGATATTCGTATAGGCTCATCATTCCAAGTCAAATTCATTAGTGAAGGCCTTGCATTAGCAAATTATCTGCTCGTCTGGTGTAAAAATTACACCTCCTGCAGAAAGGAAATTGAAATGTTTTAAGATAAGGTTTATGGATGGGTATGTTTATCAGCCCTGTTTCTGGCCTAACAGTGTGAAATTTAAAGCTGCAATCGGTCATTTTCCAAATGCCTGGAATTAGCTTGGAATTATTCTGAAAACAAATGGCTCGACGGACAGTAAAATTACTGTCGCACAACCATTAACATCCTGCCAGATGGTATCTTTTTTCCATCCATCTGTAATGTCCGGGGTCCTCAACTGTATTTGACCCATGTTTAGTTTTCGTGTTCCACACAAGAAGTCGTGGAGTCGTCTCCACCTCATTCAGGCTCGAGTTCAGATCATCTCCAGATCTCCTCAACTAATATTCAGCAAATGGGGTTTATCTTAGTCATGGGCTGTTAACTTCTTCCTGCCTATGCAGTGGAACTTGCCATTCAACTCACACCTTATCAAAATTATAGTTAGAGCTGAAATTCAACACTTAAACAAGCAAACAAAACAACAAAGAATAAAAGTTCAAATGTGCTAATTGTTCGACAACGTTGTTGAGGAGTATAATGTTCAGCCAGATTCAAATTATATTCAAATTCTAACTTGAATAAGGGCTCTTTGTGATTGTCTTTATTTATATGCCTCATTAAAATTCATAAATATATGATAAACGAAATGTTTTAGTTATATAAATTGCTTAATGGCCATTCCTAAACCCATCGTCAATGTAATGTATGAATGGTAATAATTCACAAAACACAACCGTAACTACTAGACATTGTAATATATATATATATATATATATTTATTATTGTTTTTATAATATTGCTTATCTTTAATGCATTGATCAACAGATATCAGAGGAACAAAACCAAAATAATATATAATAATAATATATATCACAAATTACCAGATCATTCTTAGAACTAGTAGTAGCAAAAAGCAATTGTAGGCTGTTGGAATGTTGCATAGTTCTGCTATAAACTATAAATAAAAAAAGTGCTTATCTTTAGTTCTGGAACCTAATGGTGAGCATGATTATTGGTTTGATATTCGTATAGGCTCATCATTCCAAGTCAAATTCATTAGTGAAGGCCTTGCATTAGCAAATTATCTGCTCGTCTGGTGTAAAAATTACACCTCCTGCAGAAAGGAAATTGAAATGTTTTAAGATAAGGTTTATGGATGGGTATGTTTATCAGCCCTGTTTCTGGCCTAACAGTGTGAAATTTAAAGCTGCAATCGGTCATTTTCCAAATGCCTGGAATTAGCTTGGAATTATTCTGAAAACAAATGGCTCGACGGACAGTAAAATTACTGTCGCACAACCATTAACATCCTGCCAGATGGTATCTTTTTTCCATCCATCTGTAATGTCCGGGGTCCTCAACTGTATTTGACCCATGTTTAGTTTTCGTGTTCCACACAAGAAGTCGTGGAGTCGTCTCCACCTCATTCAGGCTCGAGTTCAGATCATCTCCAGATCTCCTCAACTAATATTCAGCAAATGGGGTTTATCTTAGTCATGGGCTGTTAACTTCTTCCTGCCTATGCAGTGGAACTTGCCATTCAACTCACACCTTATCAAAATTATAGTTAGAGCTGAAATTCAACACTTAAACAAGCAAACAAAACAACAAAGAATAAAAGTTCAAATGTGCTAATTGTTCGACAACGTTGTTGAGGAGTATAATGTTCAGCCAGATTCAAATTATATTCAAATTCTAACTTGAATAAGGGTATAGGATAAAATAGTTTAGATTTGCTTCAGTCGCAGGAGTCTCAGGTTGATTAAATATACTTGGTTGGAGAAAACACAGGAATGGTCTTCAGGCTGGAGCTGCTCACCAAATCTTGACATCCTTAAGCTCTAGATCTCCCACAATCGCGATCACATCCACACAACTTAGATCCTGCACACGATGCTTGTAACACAGCTGGTGGAACCCGTTTACTGCCACTTTAAACTCCTGAGCTTCACACAGGATGATCATCTGCCATGGAAAAGCGTAAGGTCAGAGGTCACAGAGCAGATACCACTCAAAAACACTGCAAAAATGAATAAGATGCACTTGCAGGAACTGATCAAATATCTAACCTAATCATGGCCTCCATCCTGCATTTTCAGAGATACACACCAAAACCAAGTCATCATTCAAGTCAACATGAATTGGCATTTGAAAGCTATTTAACTTGAAAAATGTCCAAATTAGGCAAAATGCCCAGTGGTGATTTTGGCCTCCATACAGGTATTACTTTACACATACTGTACTGAATTGGTATGTCCTTCGAATCAAAATAATTTACTTATTAATCAAAATTAGTTTTAATTATTAACTAATTAGAATCAGTAAAAATGTAACTCCTTAAAATGATAACACCCATAAAATAGCATTTGGACATTTTTACAGCAAGACGGGAAATAAAGAGAACATTGCTGTAACATGCCGTTAATGTAACTAATTAACATTAAATTACTGCAGCATTTTACATTACTGATAATATTAGCCTTAAAGGGGTCCTATTATGCTCTTTTACAAAGTCTTGATTTTGTTTTGGGGGTGTACTAGAACAGGCTCTCATACTAGGTTGTTCGAAAAACACATTATTTTTCACATATTTTACATTATTACAACACCTCTCTCCCCAGTCTGGCATGAACGGCTCGAATAGTTCCTGTATCAAATGAAGGCCCGCCTTCTGAAATACGAAATGTGCTGTGATTGGTTAGCAAGGCCAGTGTGTGTTGTGATTGGCACCACTCGGCGCCTGGTCGGGAAATGTCACACCCCTTACCATAGCTGCCTGCGAGCTTCAGTGTATAATTATTAGCAAATATTGCGTAAAAATCAAATCAATTTGAGCGCGATTTAAACCCGGATGATTGCAACCACTCTAAGTTCGCCTGTCTTGGGAAAGCTAGCGTGTCTCCGACATAGAGATAACACTCGTTGCCTTCTCTAGTGCAGCTCAACCAGGTCTCGTCCCATTCGTCGATATTTGTGATATCACAAATCCCGGAAAATATGCGTTGTAGTCCAAACAAGTTGTTCGTTGTAGTTTTTGAAAAGTGATTTCTGTTAAATAAAATATATCCTTTTGAAGTGGACTTTGAACTTTGTAACTTTGCAGATCTTTTTTATGCTCAAACAGCAACATTACAGACTAACTAAAGTTAAAAAAGTGAAAAAGCATAATAGGACCCCTTTAAAGGTAGGGTAGGTGATTTCGGAGAGGCTAGCAATAGCAAGCTAGCTCTGAAAGCATAAGATCCCACCCTCCCTGCAAATCACTCTCCAAAGCCACATATAAACATATGTATATATATTATATAAATATGTAACGCTAACCCTAACCCTTTCAACCAGCATAACAAAAATTGTTTTTGAACCAAATCACCTACACTGCCTTTAAACAAAGCCTAAAAATCTATTAAAGAGACAGTTCATCTAAAAATGAAAATGTTGTCATCATTTACTCACCCTCAAGTTGTTCCCAACCTGTATAAGTTTTTTTCTTCTTTTGAACACAAAAGGAAGATATTTTGAAGAATGTGGGTAACCGAACAGTTGCTGGTCCCAACTGACTTCCATAGTATGGAACAAATAAAAATACTATGGAAATCAATGGGGACCAGAAACTGCTTGGTTACCTGCATTCTGCTCCTTCTGTGTTCAACAGAAGAAATTCTTAAGGCATGGAACAACTTGAGGGTACATTTTCATTTTTTGGTGAACTATCCATTTATTGTGTAGCTAACAAGAAAAGTCATTTCAGACATGAAGAAAGTTGTTACATTATGATGAAAGGTTACAAAGACAAGCATGTTTTCTCTCTTTGGAATAATATGAATTTAATGACCCGGGAATGGCCATTAAGAAAGTAAATACAGTTCATTTAGATTTCATGTTGACTTGAAATTTCAGCAAATGCTCTCATTTAGTGACAAACAAGGACTGATACCTCAAAGTATTGACCGGCTGAGAAGGGAAAGCTGGGGAGGGAAGTCTCCTCAACCCCCCAACAACCAGACAGGAAAGAGTTTCGAATGAAGGAACCAGTTTTGAAACGAGGGTTTAAGTGTAAAGCAATGTCCTCAGAGTTACTGATGCGCAGGTTTACAGAGAATCTGTGGGGATAACGGAAGAAATTGAAGACATCAATACATAATTTAATGAGAAATGGGTTAAAAATGACAAAAAGCATGTATTATATATTATATATCTAGAATATTCCAGTGGCATTCCTGATGGTTGTTTTCTTATCATACCTCTCTGGGGAACCAGAGATCTGCCCCTTCACCATAATGGAATCTCCTGGACTCAATCCTTTCGCAAGTTTGCTCTTAAATGGAAGACTCTGGAGCGAAAAAAGAAACACATCTGACAATGGTTTCAAATTCAGCACGAAGTAGACAGCAGAACCACCACAATAATTCCCAGCTATTACTCCCACGCTATTGCTATGCAGTCACTTAAGGCTGGAATACACAACACATCTTTTAACATCGGAACAGATTTTAAACCACTAGGAATCAGACACTTGCCAACTTTGTAAATGGTTACAGAGAAAACCTGGGCATAACACACTAAATGACTGAGGATCACACACTAACACACTTTTCAATTCGTTCCTGAAAAAAAAAAAAAACAGAAATGTGCATCTGAGGGACGCATGAAAAAAATGAAAACAATATGTGTTCTGAAATTGACTCAAAATATCAAACATGTTTGAAATCCTCCAACTGGATGGAATCATAGGCTGAAGCTAAAAAGGTCTGTGCCAATCATCTATATGTGATTTTCTCTGAATTACCAGCTCGACTCGTCCAGATTGCAAATCGGGGGAAAAATCTGTGCAAAAGTTGGGTGGTATATTCCAGCGTTAAAGGGATAGTTCACCCAAAAATGAAAATGTGATGTTTATCTGCTTACCCCCAGGGCATCCAAGATGTAGGTGACTTTGTTTCTTCAGTAGAACACAAACAGAGATTTTTAAGTCAAACCGTTGCAGGCTGTCAGTCATATAATGGAGGTGAATGGGAATCGCGGCTTTGAGAGTCAAAAAAACATACACAAACAAAACCAAATTAAACCTTGTAGCTCGTGACGGTACATTGATGTGTAAAGACACAAAACGATCGGTCTGTGCAAGAAACTGAACAGTATTTATATCGTCTTTTACCTCTTATACACCGCAATGTCCAACATTCGGCGCGTGTACATGCTCTGGCATAATAGACATTGTTAGAAAACACTCTCTGTCTTGAGAATGCCTCACCCCTCCTTTCTTTCCCTCTCCCTCTCACTCTCCCTCCTCTATCTGTTCTCTCTCTCTTGTATGGTGTTTTAATGTCTCTTACTTCAGTAGAACACAAACGAAGATTTTTAACTCAAACCGTTGCAGTCTGTCAGTCATTTTAGTGTCAGGGTTTAATTTGGTTTTGTTTGTGTATATGTTTTTTTTACTCTCAAAGCCGTGATTCCCATCCACTTCCATTATCTGACTGACAGCCTGCAACGGTTTGAGTTTAAAATCTTCGTTTGTGTTCTACTGAAGAAACAAAGTCACCTACATCTTGGATGCCCTGGGGGTAAGCAGATAAACATCACATTTTCATTTTTGGGTGAACTATCCCTTTAAGGTGCTCTGAATGCACTGCAATACTGTATGATTGCCAAGGCGTTGCTAAGCCAGCTGTTAGGGTGTTATAGGTGGTTCCCAGGGCATTATTAGCTGGTTGTTGTGAAACAACTCAAATCACTTTAAGGAGTTACATTGTAACGTGCAAATTCACACACAGTGTCTCTTTAATTTGACCAGGATTGCAGGGTTCCCGTCTTGATATCCAAGAAGGTTTAGAGAAAATTTGAAATAAGCTCAATGTTATTATAGATTAAAAAGGGTTTTATAATTAAATACTTCTGAAAGATCATCTAAAATAATTTCTAATCAGTAAGGTGCTTGCGGTAAAGGCCTGATTTAAGGGTCAAAGTGACCAAATAATGACAATGTCCTGGTTTCTGTCCAGACTGTGAGGCACCCACTTCAATTTGATTTAATTTAATTTATTCTGAAATTGAATTTAAAGTATTATCTGCAGTTAAAAGTAAAGCTGCCACATAAAAACTGGTGTCGCATGTGAAAACAATTTCCCCTTGTTTGACCTTTAGGCAAATGTTCAGCCTAACATGTACTCACCGTGTCACCTGACTCCGACATGACTGACTATTGGACGAAAGAGGGGGGAATGTTTTAATTAAACGGTTTCAAGCCCTGGACCTACAGTGCAATTTATCTACTACTACTCTCTCATATACTGTACCTGCCCTATATTGACAGTGTGTGTGCATATATCTGTCAGTCCCATTAAGGTTTCATTTTTAGGCTACTTTTTACATTTAAATGCAAATCCAAAAATGTTCTTAAAAATGTTTTAAACATTTAGGCCTGGTTTCATAGACAGGGCTTCGCTGAAGCCAGGATTAGGCCATAGTTCAATTAGGACATTTAAGTAATTTTTATAAATGTGCCTTAGAAAAAAAACATTACTGGTGTGCTTTTTGAGACAAAAACAAAGGCACTGATATATTTTAAGATCAGTCAGTGCAAGTTTCTTTCATTTGAAACAGCTCAGACTTACATTTTAGTCTAGGACTAGGCTTAAGCCTTGTCTGTGAAACCCGGGGGCAAAAGTTTTAATAGAAAAAAAGCATGTTACCTTGCTTACTGAACTGGGAATAAACCCAATGGCTTGAATCTGAACCTTCCCTGATATGGCCAGCGTGTCCACCTTCTTGAGCTCTAACCTGTGCCTGTACTCCAGCAGGTGAGAGCCATTCACTGCCACCTGGAGGGAGTAAAACAAAGCATATACTTATTTAAACAATACGTTTTTGTAAAGTCACTGGCATTTGAAGAAGAGCGTGTCATTTTTTTGCTCCATCAGCATCACAAAACAGATCTGAAAAATACTATTTCCAAACATTTTACATGTATTCTTCTGCCCATTTGATGGATAAACAAACTCATACCAACTCATGCTCGAGAGTGACCTCACCTAAAAGCATGTGAATTAAAAACACAATGGCAAATGGTTTACTGACATCACAGCTCTCACTGGCTTAGAACAACTGTGACATTTTGTTCTTACAACTCTAATATCATAAATCATTCATGTGTGAGCACAACATCTCTACAGAAGCACAACATCTTTATAGAATACGGAGCACCTAAAGTGACAAGGTGATGATGGACAAAAAATAAGATTAGAGGAAAGATTATATTTCAACCCTTGCAAAGCGTTCGCATTCTCCCGAGAAACTTTGCATTAGCTCACAAAACGTTTGTGTTTTAAACTTAACTAGATAACTTTGAGCTCTCTCACAAAAGTATTGCATTCCTCTGAAAAACTTTCATATATAATATGAAAATATCTTCATATTAAACATTTCATAAAAATATTTTTTTTCCCCAAGCTCACATTATTTGCATCACCAGTTTGGCTTTCGTTTGCAAAAGAGCGCGAAGTTTCTCAGAGAATCTGAAAGTTTTGAGAGCAAACGCTCTGTAGATGGAAAAGTCTCCATACAAGTTCTTTGTGCATTTCTTTTTTTCTACTTGTTACTTTGCACTTTTTGTTAGAAAATGCGCAAAAAGCACTGAAATATAACTTTTCCTCCATTTTTTTCCCTTTTTCCATCATATATGTCATACATGTCCCTTCAGGGGCTCTTTATAATTATGTAATCTTAATCATATTTCTGAAATAAAATGATGGTCGAGACTTTGACAGAGTTAAACTCCTATACCCCATTGGAATTAAATATTGGTAACACTGCATTAAGTACAAAAGCAGCAGTATTTCAAATGCATTCATTTCATCTGCAAAAAACGCAAAAAGCACTGAAATATAACTTTTTTTTTCCTTTTTCCATCATATATGTCATACATGTCCCTTTAGGGGCTCTTTAGAATTATGTAATCTTAATCATATTTCTGAAATAAAATGATGGTCGAGACTTTGACAGAGTTAAACTCCTATACCCCATTGGAATTAAATATTGGTAACACTGCATTAAGTACAAAAGCAGCAGTATTTCAAATGCATTCATTTCATCTGCAAAAAAAAAAGAACATAAATGCAATATCTGCTTTTGCTTGCATGGATCTCTACACCACTATGACTGCAGCAGTGTGTCTACACAAGTTCAATTTAAGACTTTTTTTAAGACTGCCTACTCGTCTACATTTGAGGCAAGGCATGTGGCATCTCAAACAAGTCTATTGTTTTGATCTTCAAAGTTTACACTTTGGGGGCAGCTTGCTTGCTGCATATTAAGGAGAAAGTATTTTAACATCCAAAAATGACAAATCTTCACCTTTAACTTTATAAACTCAGTTAAAGGGGTCATATGATGCTGCTAAAAAGAACATTATTTTGTGTATTTGGTGTAATGAAATGTGTTTATGCGGTTTAAAAAACACATTATTTTCCACATACTGTACATTATTGTTTCTCCTCTATGCCCCGCCTTTTTGAAACGCGTCGATTTTTACAAAGCTCATCGATCTGAAAAAGCGAGGTGTGCTGTGATTGGCCAGCTATCCAATGCGTTGTGATTGGCCGAATACCTCAAGCGTGAGACGGAAATGTTACGCCCCTCACATACTGTTGATGCCGTGTCAGGCCGGAGCGACGAGACATAAACATTAAAACCCATTACAAACAAGGCATTTGTTGCATCCAGTGGGGACATAATCACTGATTATAATGACTTATACTGTCCTTTTACGCGTTGCGTTGCATCGCGCCGCGTAAACATAAAACCATGTCTGCATTTGTGATAAGAGAAATGACAAACAACAAGTGCTAACGTTAATCCACACTGCCCAAAACTCGCGTTTGAATCATCAGTGGCAAATCCTTTAAATATGAAAACGTACATACGTGAGTCAGAACTGCTGGCATTTTAGTCTAACGTTACTCTCCCAAGATCAGTAAACAGTCCTCCATAAAATGTGCCGGCGATCCACAGCACTAAGTTGAAGTATTCCCTCAGCGACCAGCACAGATCAGCTCTAGGCATAACGAAGCGGATATCGTCCTCTTTTGGAAGACCAAACAAAGTAGTTTCGCTTTCACAACGAAAAACACAGCAGCCTAGCGTGAGGGGAAGCCCCGGCTTAGCGTGCGCTGAGGCCGGGATAAAGCGAGCTGAGGCCGGGCTAGCGTGAGGGGAAGCCCCGGCTTAGCGTGCGCTGAGGCCGGGATAGAGTGAGCTGAGAACGGCGCGCCCGGAGGATCTGACGAATGAACGGCAACCACATGTGACGACCCCGGGCTGGACTCCGCTTCGGCCACGGTGAAAGCCGATCCGGCGATCCACAGCACTAAATT